GGATAGTTATCAAACATTTCTTAAGAAAAAACTATATTTTATCTGTTATTTTCAGTAATTAACTTCTGTATGGGTTCGACAGATTTGACCGATCTCACAACCACCATACAAAATTAGGAAATAAACATAAATTATGCTTCTTTCATTCTAGAATGAACACAAATTATAACACAAAAACATTAATGTTTAGTCCAAATAGATTAAATCTCATAACATTATACATTTATATATATTATTTTTTATTATATTGACCTTTCACCTGTGTCTAGCTAACAATACAGAACTTACATGCGGCTAATGTGCACTCATATTACCATGCCAAATAACACAGAGGTGACCTTTGGTCTCTACAAAGTAACTTGTCTTGGCTGTTTTAGTCAAGTAATATTTTGTAAAATACAGTCACATTTCAATTATTATACATTATATATGTAAATAGATTATTGCTATTTATAAATAAGTTCTTAAAGTTATTTTTCCTAAACATAGTACAGTAAATAAAGAATTAAAGCAAACAAATATATCTTTTACTTATGACCTTTGTACTCAGTTGCTAAGCCTTTAAAATTTTACATGTGGAGGATATGAAACAAAATATATTTTTTAAGGTTTTATATATACTTTTGAATAACTAAAAATCATAAGTTACTACATCAATAACATAAAATTGTACTATAATTTATCAAGCTTAGTAACTAAGATGTATTTGGGTCTAAAAAAGGAAATTTTGAGCAGACTAAAGACACAACACCTATCACTTTTAAATCTTGGTTCAAAAGAAAGAAATGGCACTAGCCATATTAGAAAAGCTGTGAAAACCACTAGGGGATATTCTGAGCTTCCAATTGGTTATTCATGTCATATATAGAAGTGAGCATTTCCAAAAATGGAAAGAGATTGGCAGGGTACCACTATATTTGATTTATTACATGAGCAGTATCTTAGCAAATAGAAAAGATAAGACCTTCTTATTTTATAGTATAGCTTGTCTGTAATTCAAGTTTCTAATTCATACAAAACTATAGACTTAGTATTTTGACTTCATAAACATCCAGTGCTGCATTCAACATACCATATGACACAAAAATCGATGTTTATCTGTGTTTTATTAATATTTACTTTTAAATTAACAAATTAAGTAATGTATAGTTCTAAAATTTGAATTATAATCTACAGTTTGATACCAAACTTATTGACATAAATTCATGAAATAGTAGTTCAGTAAAATTTTAAATGCAAGTCAACAAATGAGATGACATGGCCTTTCACCTGTGACCTACCTGATGCTTCATACCTCACGCTGCACTGATGACCACACATACACGATCAAACAAACAGTATGTTGTCACACTCCTTTAAACATTTGCAACACTTCTAGTTCAGTGTCTCTCTGGTCTACTTGTGAACAAACGATTTGTTCAAAAAGAGAAAATTCACACATTCATTTCATGTTTTGTCACCTTTCCCTCCATTTAGCAATAAATAGAGCTCTGCTTTCTCAGCCAAATGAATTTCATTCGACGATTAGCTATCGACCCTGTTACAAGCCAGGATGCAGAGTGTCTCGTACCTACGCCACCGTTAATTATCGACGGACTACCTCTCGACTTCTCGCCGCGGAACACGGCTAACTTCACCCGCCACTTCAAACCCCAAGCCCGAGTATTCCCTGAGTGAACCCGACATCTATGGAAGGGAGGCTTACTCCTCCAACCTAAGTCACTAGAAGATTTCCACTACCTTCGCCAACCCTGGTCTTCAAATCCTCCCGTTACTTGCCAACCCCCCAAAAGCAATGCCCAAAGTCCATCATAAGTTATCTTAATTCACCCCTATAAGTCCATCCTTGGACTTTTCTTTTTACTGCCTGCTATTCAAATGTACACGATTCGTGTCAATCAAAACAATGCTCTAGAATAGTTTTATACTTCTGATTAAATCACCCAGTAATCCGATTTAGCGTTGCTTCAGGTGTAGAGATTATCAAATTTACAAATGTTACATTTTCATTACCCACACAAAGAAATATTTCATTCCACCAGGTTATTGGTTATGCTACATTGTGTTAATCCAATAAATGTCTTGCTTTCATTTTTCACTGAAACTTAACACTATTGATAATGGTAGTATTGCTTTCAAACCCAGGCACGAAACTCAAAACTTGTGGACTTGGCTGACACTTAAAGAAGTAATTGGTAAATTAACAGATTTCTGAATTTTTTTCAGAAATTCATAATTAAAAAATGAATATCTAACTATTTTGTGACTGAACTTTGTGAACCCCATGGAAATAAACGAAATTATACTCACGGGAAATTTCAGACGAGATATAAACATGTCATGATAGCTTGAATGACACTTCTCATCTTGGGGTTCACCAATCATGTACACCATGTTGCAAGTAGGACACTGCCTTGCACCCAATTCCCGCTGGCCAGCATCAATTATTAACTGTTCTTTCTTGTCACCTTTCGTACTATATCTGACACGAGGTTTAATTCTTGGGGAAGCTTTTCTAGTAGCTGGAGACTTAGTACCACTTTTATCGACACTAGAAGGAAATAACAATCAATTAGCAAGGAAAAGTCAAAGCATGAATGCAATTTAACTGACATATGGACACCCTATCATAACAACACTAACATGACATTGTGAACACATTAACACAAAACTACAAATACACTAAGATAACATATTGACACTAAGATAACATTGTGAACACACTCACACAAAATTACCAATACACTAACATAACATACTGACACTAACATTACAAACACATAAACAACATCAATCATCATTACTTTCTAAACAACACAGATAGTTGTTGATTTAGTACAAACTTTCCAAAGGTTTATCTTGCATGACATCTAATGCCAATGTAGTGTCTTCCGCCATCTCACATTTAGAAACACGCATCACACTAACAATAGATTTACTCCTATGTAAGGGTGGCTTTTGTAGTGACCAGGAGATTTACTCCTATGTAAGGGTGGCTTTTGTAGTGACCAGGAGATTTACTCCTATGTAAAAGTGGCTTTTGTAGTGCCCAGGAGATTTTACTCCTATGTAAGGGTGGCTTTTGTAGTGGTCAGATTTTACTCCTATGTAAGAGTGGCTTTTGTAGTGGCCAGGAGATTCTCCTATGTAAGGGTGGCTTTTGTAGTTACCAGGAAATTTACTCCTATGTAAGGGTGGCTTTTGTACTGGCCAGGAGATTTTACTCCTATGTAAGGGTGGCTTTTGCAGTGGCCAGGAGATTTACTCCTATGTAAGGGTGGCTTTTCTAGTGGCCAGGAGATTTACTCCTATGTAAGGGTGGCTTTTGTAGTGGCCAGGAGATTTACTCCTGTGTAAGGTCCTAAGAATTTTTTAAACTTAAAATAAGTTTCAAGTAAAGTACTTCTACAACTTTAAAATTAACTCACCTGCTTTAAAATCTTATTGTTCTTTAGCTGAAATATTTATAAAAAATAAAATACATATGGGAAAAAAATCCTTGATAATAATGTTTGTGTAATCATACCTGCAGTGTATTTATATCTTTCATGTAAAAAGGAAACAAATATTTTTGTTTTAGAAATACCTAGACCATACAAACCTGTTCATTGGTTTGGAAGAGGATGCCTTTGCAAATATTGGGTAACATTTCTTGGGTGATGAACCTGTGAACGACATCAACATATTTATAAAAATAAATAACTGCAACAGCGACTTAAACATCCAACAAATGAATCTTCTTAAAATAAGTTGTTGTTTAAATAGTACTGATGAAAATTGTCACAAGTTGTTAATGTTACACTGTATTACACAAGTTACGAACATTACACCATCTCAGACACTGTATTACACAAGTTATGAATGTTACACTGTCTCAAACACTGTATTATACAAGTTACAAACCTTACATTGTCTCAGACACAGTATTACACAAGTTACTAACATTACACAGTCTCAGACACTGTATTACACAAGTTATGAATGTTACACCGTCTCAGACACTGTATTACACAAGTTACGAATGTTACACCATCTCAGACACTGTATTACACAAGTTATGAATGTTACACCGTCTCAGACACTGTATTACACAAGTTATGAATGTTACACCATCTCAGACACTGTATTACACAAGTTATGAATGTTACACCGTCTCAGACACTGTATTACACAAGTTATAAATGTTACAGTCTCAGACACTGTATTATACAAGTTACAAACGTTACTTTGTCTCATGACACTGTATTACACAAGTTACTAACACTAAACTGTTTTCAACATGTTCTCAGACACTAAGTTATGAAATACTTGTTATATTTGTAACAACACCTAGTACAACAAACAATCTGAACTTTTTATCTAATATTTTCAAAGTACTTTTGTAACCACAAATCTCACTATGTTTGATACTCAACATTACAATAATGTAAATCAACACATTTCAGATAAACACTTTTTTCACCAAATTCCCAGTTTCTATATAACAAATATCTGGTTCTAACGATATGTATATCTGTCCTATGACTTTAGCATAAATCAAAATTAATCTTAGGAAAATAAAACACAAAGCTCCAGAAGATGATGGAATTAGCAGTTAAATCCTGAAAAACCTATCCAACAAAATTATAACCCACTTAGTAACAATTTATAATTTATCGTTACTATCAGGATATTACCTATCTATTTGGAGATCAGCTATTATTAAGGAAATCCCCAAGAAAAATAATAACTAATCCCAGCAGTTAGAGACCCATTAGCTTGTTAAACACCCTTGGTAAGTTGATGGAGGAATGATTCATGAATCAGTTCAACGCTTACCTAGAAACCAACAATATTATTAACATACAGAATTCAGACAGAAAACATAGACAAAACAATGATGTTAGACTTCTCGAAACCACCTATCAAGGTTTTAACTGAAAGCATACAACCATAGCTACCTATTTAAGACATCCAAAAAACTTTTGATTTGATTTGAACTCCACTATAAACTAATGATAATCATGTACTCACCCATACTGTATACTGAATATCCATATTCTTATGATCACGAAAGCAAAAGTTAAGATCAACAGTGTGACCTCTAGGCCCTTCATATTCTAAGCCATTGTCCCCAAGGGTCATCATTAAGCCCAACATTATACAACCTCTTTGTCAACGATATCCCGTCCCCTTTCTTAAGTCATACACTTGCATCTCAAAATGCAGACGATATTGCTATCTGGAGTTTTTCTAGTATCCCATGTACCATGACATTTGGGGGGTCCAAATATCACTCAAAGCAGTGTCAGATTGATGCAACAAGTAGCATGCAGCCCTCAAAACATCCAGATCCCAAGCTATACACCCTTTTCTTAGGAAAATATTCTTCATAATCTTTATTTAACCCTTAACAATTCAGGTACTCATCAGATAGAATATTTGGTACTCGAACAGTGAAAGTGGGGTTTCTTGGGGTGTCCCTTTTTTCCCTCACAGCAAAATTTTTTCATTGGATCCACAGATCTCGACCTGAGAAGGACTGCTCCCCTTCATATTCTAGATTCAAAATTTTAATTACATTTTCATGTAATAATACAATGAAGGTTATTTAAGTTCTTTGCCAGGTTTATATGAATTAATTAATTCTTTAGACCCTAATTAATACTCTTATTTATACAACATTTGAACTTTAAACTGGATATCCTTGATATAGTCTTGGTTCCTTCAGTCGTCACATCTGCTTCATAACACCACCTTTTATATTCAAGCCTTCAGTTTCAGTATTGATTCCCCTTTCTTTCAATGAACTTCCAGTCTCCAGCTCCCTGCTGTCTAGGGTTGTTACAAGGTTTCTTTTTTACCTTATTCACCAACCTTAATTTCTTTGCAGCCTTCATAATTGTTTAACCAAATTTTTGCAAGCAGGGCCAAGAGAAATGGCAGTTTCTGACTGCCCCTGGTTATCTTTCAGGCCTCTTCTGGAACTGAAAGTTTTCTACCAAGGATTTTGCTTTACTTTTTCTCTGTGGACCCCCAGGTTGTGATATCCCAATGAGTTGGCAAGCAGTTTTGTTCCTGGCTCACTAACATGGGTCTTTTGGAATAGTGCAATCAAGTGGGGGTACCTTAGCCGCAACAGCCTTAGCAAAGGCTACGAACTGCCTGGAATACATAATCTTGAACACATGTTGCTTGATCTGTTTATATTATACATATACATGTACACACTGCTTGTTAGGTATGATAGGCTATACATGCTGCATACATCATACACCAGCACAGTTAGCACACACATCTTCGAGCTAAACATTTGTTGCATGTGCATTCATAGTGACAGCATTTGTAGATTGTACATAAATGATGAGTGTTGGTAATTTTGGGAAGGTACATTCATGGTTTGTCATAAGCTCTGCTCGGTTAAGGAATATTTAGATCAACTTCGATGAAATCAAACTTTTAATGGCTCTTTTGATTTTATGAGGCCACACAGGCTACCTTGCAGACATAACCTGTCAGTCATAACCACTCCCTATTTAAAACTTTTGACTAAGCACCCAGTTGTTCAGCAACACATGGCTTGAACCTACGACTGTTCCAATCGGGAGCTCCACCAATAGGTCTTAGCCAAGCCTTAATTCGAGGAAATCTGAAGATACAAATCAACTGAAGTTCATACTGAAATATCCCAATTTGTTTTAATGCGAGTTATGTTGTGTAAAGTTAAGAAACGTAATCCTTTAATTAATCACCCAGAAACACTAAAGATTTCTGTACCAAATGTTTGCAAAATAAAAAATTCAAATGTTCAAAGATATTATAAAAGAAAGCAAATATTTAGATGCCTAACTTCAAGGTCATGGGACAGCTACATGTTGGGCATTAAAATATATTTCTTTGCTTTGAATTTGGACTCAAGACCTCTCACACAACAAGAAAGTGCTCTACCAAACAGCTGAGGGGCTAGCCACTTTACCCTTACTCGTAAGACAATTTTTAACAACACAAATTACTACTATTTGAATTTTCATTAAGTAACGAAAGTAAGTAAGTACATATTTAAGGCCTGAATGTCACTTTATTAAACAGAAAACAAAAAAATATCAATAACACCCTAAACTGTTATTACAAACCCAAATTTCCTGATGATTGATCTGGTGAAGAAACTTGGATATTTCCTGAAAGTATAGTTTCCCCCTCTTTCCGAGAACTTAAGCTCGTTGTTACGTTTGGTTTATCCATTCTTAAAATACTTTCTGAACTAATCTTACAAATCTTCTGATCCTCTTGGCTCAATACTACAACAGGTGACATGATCTGATCACTTGTGAGTTTAAATCTAGCTTGACTCTCATTAACAGAAAAAATGTTTTGTTTGGATCTAACTTTTCTGGTAGGCGCCGTGACAAACTTTTTAGACTTGACAACTCTAATATCCAAAGGGATTTTCTTTTTCATTGGTTTAGATTTTCTTTTCAATTGTGCAGTGCTTTCAGCTTTGAATTTTATGTGAAAAACTCCCCCTCGAGTTGTCGTGGACCACCGTTTTGAATCTGATTTTGGACTACGTGAAGTAAAAAATTTGCGAGCCATTGTGGGAGTAACAGGAGAAACACATGCAGGAGCAATGCTGGCTTTTCTTGGACTGGACCTTACTGATACATCATTTCTTACTTCATTTTTAATAGGTTTAGTTACTACAGCATCTAAAGTGTTAGGTTGATATTTCTGCTTATGCAATACCATGGCATTGTTACTATTAGAATTTAACTTTCTAATTGCAGTCTTGCGCTTCTGAGTTGTTCGGTATTTTAGATTAGTTGATTTAAGGTGTTTTATTTGTGACACATTTTTCAAATCTGAAATTAAAGCTTTCCTAATTCCCAAGGCTTTTCTCTGAAGAGGATCTAAGTATTGAGTTTTTCTTTGATAAAAACTTTCAGTACAAATCCTCGGTGAGTGTCTTGGAGAACCCTCATCCATATTTCTCCTAGATAAATACACAAGACGATGAGGTGATGTTGTTAAGTTTTCTTTGCCCGTTGGTGTTCTTGGAGATGATGGATAAATAGTCTTGCATGCTTTGATGCTTGGTGAAGTTCCAAGATGTGGAATAAGAGACATCAGCCTCGGTGATCGTCTCACATCGTTTTCAGTTTCTCTGACCTTTTTTGGAGTGTGAAGTGAAAAGCTGAAATACACAAAGAAACTAGTTAAGCAGGATACTGAAAACGAGCAACAGAGATTCTGTCTTTATAAATATAAGGTTCTGTGGTATTGAATGGAAATGTTTTAGTTCTAGCATCCTTAACAATAACAATAAACAAATGGTATAATAAAAATGAGAATAAGAGTCTGAATATTCAGAATTCGTACACTCCGACAAACATTCATCAATAATGGATATAGTAATATCACAATCGACAAGACACTTCAACGATAACTGGACAGCCGCCAAAAAAACACCACTACCGACAACTGCACTGAAC